ATTTCATTAGATAATTTATCGAAGCAACTGATGGAATTATACTGGGGAGGATCTTGACGAAGAATTCGTAACAGATTTTCATTTCGAGTAATATGGTCATGCTCAGAATCATTATTGAGAAATACCATATCACACCCGGCAAACTCCTCCATATGAAAAGCTGTTGAAATTTGTTTGTTTTTGAGTATTTTGATTGACCACTTTCCCCATAAACCATCTTGGATAAAAGGCTAATTATTATCTTTGTGGTATAAAAACTTTCGAAAATTCTCTCGCTCTGTCCCAGCTCATGATATTACGATTGAGATGTAAACAGGACTGGCAAAATAAATGTGTAATAGACCAGATTCATCTCAACTTAATTGCAACTGTTTTATAACATAGGTAGGTACTGCCTATGCAATCAATTTGCAATAATTTATCTCCACGTCTCCATAAATAGAAAAACAATTATTTTGCCATGTCAGAAACTGTTTTTAAAAGTATGTGTAAAGAGCATCTGTTGAACATTCAGAATAACTAGGTTTGCAGCGAGAATCCTGAAAAAGGTTTGAACTATTCACATATCTCTATATCTATATATTAACTTCTCTTTTTTTTTTCCTTAATTCTTTCCTTCTCTTCGAACCAAAATATAATACAATATTCTATTTCATAGATATATTTTCGGTATTGGTGAATGCAAATTCGCGATCTCAACCAAAAGCCATTTGCACATCAAATACAAAGTTAATTTCTCTCTCTCTCACTCTCTCTCTCTCTCTTTCTCTTGTAAAAATGTTTTCTTGTTATTTTTAATGTTCAATAAATTTATTATAATTATTACTATTATTATACCATAGAATATATGTGTAGATCATATTACCTAAATTGTGAAGAAAAACTATTCACCTTCTGTACATTGAGTTTCACAAATATCATTTTCTCTTTCTTTGAATCTTCACATATACCATTCTTCTACGCATCTTCATTATTTAGTGAGTGGGAAAAAAACCTTCAATAGTGGCCATGCAACTTTGGATGGTTGAAGATTTGACGAAGCAAATAATTAAAAATTAAAACTGTTATTGATGAAAAATGTATTTCCTATTCACAGAGAACGAATTCCTTGAATTTCCAAATTGTGTATTTTCCAAAATGAATAGGCATACTTGGAGACTGGCTGTAAATCAAATTATCCAAAAGAACAATTTGTTCAGGGCAATCTCAAATTACATACACTGTAGGTTAATTGACTGACACCTATCAGGAAACAACTACTCCCCTGGTTAATACTACGAAGGGCTTTGGATTATATCCGACAGGTGTCAGTGCAGGATTCTTCGCGTATGCTATTAGCGATACAATTGCCGAAATCGATATTCAATTATTGGAACACACTTTCGGCTGTTTGGCCATTCGTTAGTGCAAGGTAGTGTCTATAATCAACATGAAGTCGATGATTTCCGATAATTGAAAATCGAATTCCTTCCTTCAGAGTATCATTCCTTGAACTAGGAAGAAGCTAACAACAAACAACATGTTTGTCAACGCCCCATCTGCCCGTGAACGAGGTAACCAACCACGTATCCGAAATTTGCCCAATTCCTTGTATAAGGAAGAATACTTTACAAAATGTATTTTATTCAAATCGAAATGATATTGTTGAATTGACATTTTACATTATTCTGCTATAACATTTTGTATCTAATTGTACCTTTAGGTGTGAGTTTATTATGTGATCAGAATTAATTCAATGACAAATTTATATTCGCTTATTGTAAACGATGTTGAAGTATTCCGATTTTTATTCATAATGCTGGTATTATTTTTACTACTTTCAACTATTTTCCTACTTTCCCATACCTGTCTTATACCATTTCTAAGATATTAACATTCATAGGTAGTCAAGATTGACATACATGTTACCATTATTTTCCTCTTCTCCCAATAATCTCAAAGAAATTTCAGCTCTCCACGACCTGAATGCTAAATTTTTCAAAAAAATACTAGTTATATTAAGATTTGCTGCTATCACAAAATATAACTTACAACAAGGTTTTTTTTGCTATTCTATTGCTATTGGATTCTTTTTAATCTACAGATATAATTCTGTACCTGAAGAGCTAGTTATTGGGCTAGTAAATGATGTGTTTTTTCTTTAAGAGAATAGTATCTATAAAAAACATAACATGCAGAATGATACCTTGTGGAACTCCAATAATACGACTTGTGCATTTCATCATTATTGCATTTCCTGAGTGGGACATCAACTACGAAAAAAGTGTATTCAAAGAATTCAAAAAACCAGGTACCCACCTCGAATTCGGTGCATTGTTCAAAGTCCAGAATGACATATGATACAAAATGGTTGTCGTGACGACGAACAGAAGACGTTTTTTCGAAAATAAACGGCCAACATCTAGGTATTAACATAGAAATTCGCTAATGTAAACTACCAGCGAACCAGTGAACCGGTTTCGGGCATAAACAAGGTTTATCTTCAGCGGAGATATTTAATTTCGGAACGGCACCCAATCCTTGCACCGCATTATCATCAAATGCCAACCAGCCGGTCATTTGTTATTTCTGGTGTGCATCCGACTCAGCGACAGACGGTCCACTTGAAAAGCGATACCTGGATGCATTTTAGATCTTATCTCCGGTGACATTTGCTGCTAGTTTAATAGCCTCAAATTAACTTCACTAGTTCAGTTTATCTAGTCCTTTGTATAAATAAACCACAGAATTACAAGGCCCGGTTCTGATGGCCTTTTATTTTATGTGCCTGGAATCCTCTACCTACAGAGTGGCCCCTATCAATTTTATCTGTGTTGACAAAATATGCTGTAATTAATTTTGTTGCGGGCTTTCGGGCGGAAGGTGTAATGCTAAAGGGTGAGCAGACCGTGTCTGGGATGGGAATTTTTATTGGATAACAATTTGTGACACTTTCTTAAGAGGTGTAATTAAACATTTTTGAGTTCTCCAGAAGTGGTTGTTTGGCGTAAAATTCATTTTATAAGACATTCATTCAGAACGGAGTTTGGATTTGACAATTTTGAAGATAATTAGTATCTACGTATTCATTAAAATTTCGTGTAACAGTTTATTAATTCAACTAATGCTTCCGTTTTTTATTGTTTTGGGTATTCTGTGAAAAGTCAATCCTTTTTTTCGAAAGCATAAATTTGAGATATGGTAGTTTATATATTTTTTTTGTTCTATACAATGTGGGTATTAAAGGTTACAAAAAACGGCCCAGGCGAAGCTCTCGGGCTTACAGAGACAGGCTTGTCTGGCCATCAGTGGTTCCATCAGTACCACACCGTCAGCGGTCATGGAGATTCTTCTAGATCTACCTCTCTCCACATTTTTCTGGAGAGAGTGGCTAGATGGACTGCATATCCTAGACTTGTGCACATTGCCAACTGCACGAATCAATTTAATGAAGAGTGCAACACACTGCTGGTTGACACTGGAAGTACCAGCATTCTGGAAATGACCTCTGACTTTATGCCTCCAACTATCAACTACGAACTGCCTTATAAAGCACTGTTCCCGAGTAAAGAGGACTGAATCCTCCAGGAGAAGGAAATATTAAGAGCAGATAGTTGTTATTGATTCACAGATGGATCAGAAATACCTTCCGGTTCCGGTGTTTTCAGTCGCAGACCCATGACAGAGATATCAACCTGCCTAGGAACCTATGCGACTGTATTTCAGGCGGAAAATTAACGCTATTGAATTGTGTGCGGGGAGATTGGAAGAATCCAACCTCATACGCAAGTCAATTAAAATATTCTCGGACAGTCAAGCAACTTCTACCAAGCAACTTCTGAATTGGTAGCAAATTGCTAGAAACGACCCTCCTCGATAGAAAAGAGGAAACAGATTATCTCTGTTCTGGATTCCTGGCCATACTGGCCTAGAATGCAGCACCCTCCCTTGCAAAGGAGGGTGCTGCAAGTAGCTTCATCGGACCAGAACATGTAATTGGCATCGCTTTAGGCGTCGGAAGACAGTGTGTCGCCTCTGTTGAGAAAATGATGAAACAGCAGTGCACATACTTTGTGCCTGCCCCGCTGGGGACCGAATCAAGTTGTTAGAATTCGGCAGACCCGTACTCTTACCATCTGATCTGAAAGATCACTCGCCATACATACCCAGCTTCTTAACGAAGTTGGGTTTATTTGTCCGAGTATGAATAGGTGTGAGCCACAATAAACCCTTGCGGGTTGCGATAGAGGGTCAAATAGACCCACTCACTTTGAACCTAACTTAACATAACCTAGAGCTTCTGTAAACTGTTGGTTTTAAATGTATCTGTAAAAGAGAGACAGAAAGTAGTTTGTATACCAATACAGTGGATATTTCAAAATGTATTGGTCGAAGAAAACTGTATTATATGTAGAACCACAAAAATCTATTCTCGAATTGCCACTTTTCCTCTTTTATACCTCTACTAGATAAATTCAACAGCTGCCTTGAATTTTTTCGAAACAACTTCTTTCGAAAAGGTTTTTTCTTCCGGTTTGTGTCTGAAAGTCACTTCTTTGCATGATCTACACATCTTTGTAAATAGTTTATTTTTAAATTAATTGCTTTCTATCTTCCTGTGAGAGACTTCAACAACCTTTTGTATAAAGATGGAGAAGTAGAAGGCCAAAACTTTCTTCCTGAAAATTAAAATCCCCTAAAAACCTACCCCTTACAAATTATTCACGAAATAATCCACAAGAAAGAGAATGCTTCCCGAATTTGATAAAATTTTATCATGACTAAAATACCACAAATTATCATTGAATTATAAAAAAATTGTTAATCTTCTCCATCACAGAAAATATTTGAAACAATCTATCACCTTTCCTGATGAAACTATCACATATTCGTGATAGTTTCACGACGTCCGGCCTTGCGGTTCGAAGTACCTCATATTGTGCTGTACCGTCATCTTTTATTACATACATATCTGATGGGAAGTGCAACAAATAAATGAAATAAAAAAACTCGAACTTTACCTAATTTGACTGAACAGTGTATATGCGCCCTGCTCTCGTAGTACACCCAGTCGAAGCCGGCCTCCACAGCCAGCCTGGCTAGCATCCCGTACCGTGACCGTTGCCGGTCCGACGTGGTTATATCCACGGCTCTTCCCTCATAGTGCAACGAATCAGGCGCATGGTAACCCTCTTCATCCCAACCCTCGGTGACCAGGAGTTTCACGCCTGGCCACATATTCATCACAGATATTGCCAAGGTATCCAGCTTCTCCTTACACCTCTGAAAAAGAAAATCCATTTAACCTCTTGTCTTTGATAATGATAAGTAGTAGTGATTAAAATATGCTACTGGAAACTATGGTGAATTTAACACAAACGCTTCAGACACCAGAACTGCAACTATTTTTAGGACACGCGTTTCATCAACCAAGTTGGCGTAACCAAGACATTAACAATATACTTATGATGCACTGTTTGGGACCTTTTGTGTAGTAATGAATATTACTGGAGTTTTTTCCAACACCAAATCGCTATTTTTAACACCTCGACAAGTGTTTCGATCACCAAGTGATCAAGTGATCAAGGGGAAGATTAAACTAGAAACTATCGCGAAGCTAACGCTATTTATGCTATATAGATATACCCTACAGGTAAACCCTACAGGTGTACCACCCATACAGGTATACCACCCTAAATTAATTTGGTAGATAAGGCAAAATTGTAAAATTAATTAAGGGTATGTATGTATGGTACATACTGTATGGGTGGTACACCTGTAGGGTTTACCTGTAGGGTTATATCTATATAGCATAAATAGCGTTAGCTTCGCGAAAGTTTCTAGTTCAATCTTCCCCTTGAAGATGATCACTTGGTGATCGAAACACGTATCGAGGTGTTATAAATAGCGATTTGGTGTTGTTCATGAATTGGTATTGGTATTGTTCATGAATATTACTCCAGTAATATTCATGAACAATATAGGTTATATAAGAGTTAGTTTTACCTAGGACCTGAACTTTACAACAGATTGGCCACGAATATGAAGCAACATCTTTCGAGTCTCAATTCAAACCTTTTGTTTTGGAAATATTACCGCTACAGCGATCTTTAATCAACCTTTGACTCGTGATATAATTGTTTGTAACATAATGGACGTGTATTTTTTTACAAATTATAACTGCCGCTTCTGTATGAGAATATCATTTACTATTCGTTACGTCTCAACAAGGTATTCTTAAAATTTAGTTACAAATGTCTACTGAAAAATTGACATAGAAGTCATTTTATCAGGGAACTTCATTAAAAAATTCTCAAAACATACTGTTTAAAAAAAATGAGACTTGGACTATATGATTACATAATTTTTTCATTATTTTTAATGACGTATTAGCCTAATGATTTTATTTTATTTGAAAGTTGTATACGCTATTTATGCTATATAGATATACCCTACAGGTAAACCCTACAGGTGTACCACCCATACAGGTATACCACCCTAAATTAATTTGGTAGATAAGGTAAAATTGTAAAATTTATTTAGGGTGGTAAACCTGTATGGGTGGTACACCTGTAGGGTTTACCTGTAGGGTTATATCTATATAGCATAAATAGCGTTAGCTTCGCGATAGTTTCTAGTTCAATCTTCCCCTTGAAGATGATCACTTGGTGATCGAAACACGTGTCGAGGTGTTAAAAATAGCGATTTGGTGTTGGGAAAACACTCCAGTAATATTCATGAACAATATAGGTTATATAAGAGTTAGTTTTACGTAGGACCTGAACTTTACAACAGATTGGCCACGAATATGAAGCAACATCTTTCGAGTCTCAATTTAAACCTTTTGTTTTGGAAATATAACCGCTACATCAATCTTTGATCAACCTTTGACTCTGTGATATAATTGTTTGTAACATAATGAACGTGTATTTTTTTACAAATTATAACTGCCGCTTCTGTATGAGAATATCATTTACTATGCGTTACATCTCAACAAGGTATTCTTAAAATTTAGTTACAAATGTCTACTGAAAAATTGACATAGAAGTCATTTCATCAGGGAACTTCATTAACAAATTCTCAAAACATACTGTTTAAAAAAAATGAGACTTGACTATATGATTACATAATTTTTTCATTATTTTTAATGACGTATTAGCCTAATGATTATTTTATTTGAAAGTTGTATATTCAAGTGCGAGTAAAAACTGGATTTCGCCAGGTTATTCCTCAAAAGCAAGTAAGTCAAAACAAAGCAAAAACAGAATGTGTCCACAGAAAAACATTTTCCTAATTTGAAATATAATATATGGAAAGACCTAGTATTTCTCAATCAAAGTATATTTAGTTCTCACGATTCTTGGATTTCAAAACATAGAATATTTATAATAAAAATCGCCAAAGTGGACAAGTCTTTGCTTGCACCTCCGAAAATATATAAACGATTGTTCGACACATCATTAGAGAGTCGAAGAATTCACAGCCACTCGATTCAGTGACCATTAGAATATTTTAGTACTGATAAAGATCTGAGGATTTCTTACAAGGTGATTCTATTGAAAATTAAGGTTAAGTCAACCTAACTTTTATCCTTTTAATGATAAAATATCATTTCATTCATGTTTTAATTTATTATTGTTATTATTATTACATCGCCTTAAATTTTTGTCATAGTATTAGATGACATAAAATGACATCTGAGAATTGTAACTTGTAACATTTTACTGTTTATGTAATTAGGCTGTGAAAAATGAAAAATATTCAATCATTTCAGTCGTTTTGCTCAGTATTGAAAATAAAGAACTCAAAAAATGAATGATACAATCAAATCATAACAAATAACATCATTTCCCTCAATGTCTTTGTAGATAATGCATTTCCTTAAATATTATATTCCATATTGAGAGTGTCGTTACTGGTGTTTTGTATACAAAGGATAATCTTCCAAAGGAGTTAGCTACATTGAGCGAGCTGGCCACTATTACACTTCTTCATCCAATTCAATATCAGCGGTAACATCAACATATCAATATCAAAACTCTGGGTAATATACTCGCCACATTCTGTTTTTCAAGTAGTGGAGAATGAATTTCTTTTGAATATTGTAGAAGGTCAAATACTGATGAACAAATCGATCAGTGAGAAAATTACAATTTTTAATAAAAATACTCAAAATTAGTCCTTTTGATCGTTTTACTAGTATATTATCCGTTGATTTGACCAATTATAGTTTGAAAACTTAATTCCAATTATTGACATATTTGTAAATCAAACAAAATATGACCACATCTTATTTTTCATCATCAACATTGAAGTGGTAACTCGATCTACTCATATTGTCTATTGCGAAACCATTTTTCATCATTGGCCCAAAATAAAATAGCTATTATAAAGTTGTCTTCAGTGTACAATTTTTTTTAACTCACTAATATATTGTATGTCAAAAAATGACATACAATCATCCCTCAAATATTTCCTCATGTATAAATAACATTAACATATTAGAGATTCATTTGAACTTACATTGAATGATGAAAAAGTATACGACATTATCAGGTAGGTAATCAATGATCTCCAATTTTTATTAACACGCTTTCATTAGCTTCACCTGTATGTATGTATGTTTGTTTGTTTGTAACTCTCTATTCATTTCCGCTTGAATGCTCGGGATCTGTATTTGACAGAAATATCGTCATTATTGCTTAATCTACTCGTGGGCAGATGACGCTGTACGTTACCTCTTTGATATAGTTCGAACTCACTTTACATGTATTTCTTCATTTGAAAAAAGGATTTTTATTAACACGCTTTTATTAGCTCCACCTATATGTATATATGTATGTATGTATGTATGTATGTATGTATGTATGTATGTATGTTTCTTTGTAACTCTCAAGCTCGGGATCTGTATTTGACAGAATTATCGACATTATTGCTTGATCCATTCGCGGGCAGATGGCGCTATACGTAACATCCTTGATATAATTCGAACTCACTTCACATGAATTTCTTCATTAGAAAAAAGTATTTTTTGGTAAAACGCGTGCCTGCTGCCTTATTTGTAACTCTCCTTTGCGCGCCTGCTGCCTTGGGCTTGGTAGCTGATTTTCATGCTGCTTCTCCGGAATCGGAAAATATCAATGGTCATTTTTCTAAACAACATACGACTGATTGATTCCAAAGTTTAGATAAAATAAATATAGTTTGAAAAGACTAAAAAACACGCTTTTATGGTATACGAAACTAAAAAATGAAAAATAAATATTGTTTAAAAAACTAAAAAACGCGCTTTTAAAGGACATCGAACTAAAAAGTTAAACTTTTTTATTAGTCAGTGGGCTATGCTTGAAGACTGGCAGTAAACAAATCTAAAGCAAATGAACTTTAAACGTTCAAGCCAGTCGCGATATACATACACAGTAGGTTTAATGGACTGACGCCTATCAGAAAATAACTACTCCCCTGGCTAATACCACGAAGGTCGTTGGATTATATCCGACAGGCGTCAGTGCAGGAATCTTCACAGAAAATTTCCTGCATATGTAATTGGCCAATTGCATTAGCCAGGGGAGTAGTTGTTTTCTGATAGGCGTGAGTCCATTAAACCTACTGTGTAGGTATATCGAGAGTGGACTAACTACTGTTTATAGATGGCGTCGCGTCTCAGTAATTCACATAGTTAATGTTTAGGTTAGGTTTGTAGTTTCGAGTCTATTCATTGTAATTATGAATTTAATTGTTTGTATTCGTATTATAATGGATGATATAAATAAAGCTGGGCCTTTCTTCAGATGTAAAAAGACGTAAGACTGTGCGAGTGAAAAATGAACAAAAACTAATTCAGATTTAGATGATGAGTATGAGGACGAATGTGATGTAGATAACAGTAAGAAGATACATTTCATAATAAATATGTGGTTTGAAATTAATATTTTAAGTTCGAATTGAAAATGTTTCTGAAATGTCTTCTTATTATCTGCCGACAGGCAAAACTTTACGTTGGTATAAAAAAATTGGCATGCATATGTTTCAGCTATATTTGCAGAATGCTCATAAATTGTATAATAAGCACCATGGAAAGAATAGGAAAATATCATTTTATAAGTTTCGATTGTCACTATTTGAAAAGTAGTTACCAGAAAAATGTCAAGAAGCAGAAACTTTTTCAGGTGTAAACCACATACCTTCAAAAATTGAGTTACGTAATGAACATGGAAAAACTCTTAGAAAAAAATGTCGGATTTGCAATAAAAAGAAGATTCGTGAAGAATTGTGTAGAA